TCTGCTTTCCCCCTGAGGTCTCCTTTAATATGAATATCCTTTTGGGGMTCTGCTCTATGCCAATTGTGTGTTTTCCTAAGCTAATGTCTCCGTGTTTATGTAGGCAATGAAAAAAATCAACAGAACGAGAAAATAATATTGCTATTAAAGAAAAAAATAATCCTTTCCATTATGCTGCCTCCCATATGTTTTAATGATAATGCATTTCTCTGAAATCCTCTCAAAGGCCAGCTCAGTATGTGGATTCCTTCAGTCAGAATTTTTTGAATGYCTTTGTATGTACCTAAAGACAAATTCAGAAATTGAGATTTTTATAACCATGCTGTTACACTGATATGTTTTCCTTACTGACTCAAGGAATAAAACTGTTGAGCATAATGTATTTCAGCAGTAATTTGGGGCATTGATTTTGAACAAAGAATTAGGCTAGTTAAAGTAAAATGATTTTTCATTTTGCTTAGATTAAAACTAGTATTTCAGTCTCCATTTATCTTGGAGGAGGTATTAAAGTTTTGAGTGCTATTAACTGCTTTTGGGYATCTGTCAGATTTTTAGATCAGAGTGATGTTCTCAGAAACTGTAGATTAATGTTTTCTGGTGATGATTATAAGATATCCCACAAAGAAGCTCCGTAGGCATTGGAAATTCATGGTTAGCAGGCATTTTTGAGTTAATACAAGGATATGAAGCCCCTACAGAGGTGCTGGATTGTCCATGCCATGGGAGGGCAGGACCCGARCCTGGCTTTGGCCAAACTTGTGCTGATGCTCTGCGGTGTCAGGGGACACCCAGGAGAGCAAAGCTCACTCAGCCTGTGGTGCTCGGGCAGGAGAGGGGAGCAGCTCCCAGAGCCCCCCAGCACGGTTTGATGCACAGTGGGGTGAGGCTGGGCTGGACGTGTCTGGGGTCCCATCACCTCTCCAGTGTGAGAGCCTGGTCGAGGGGGACCTCTGTGATGTCCACATTGGGTTAGGAGCTGAGCCTGGGSGCTGTTCTCCCAAAACATGAGCAGGAACTTGTCCTTCTGTGAAGGAGAGTGCACTTGAGATCTGCCCTCCCTTCAGGGTGAGCTCCTGGCTCCAATAAAGCCAGGGTTAGAATTGGATTTGGTGGAGTTGGGATTTTTGTTCCTGGGGTTTACCAGCTCTCTGCAYGGCAATAATCTTGCCAGGGGACAGTTTATCTCTAAGGAAGGCTTTTATTCTTTCCCATAATCTACAAAGACATCTGTAATTACTGCTGGTAACTAAGGCAACCCAACTTTATGGCTGGTACATGCRGGCAGCAGAATGGTGGGTTATGGGTTTTTAAAATACCTGTCAGCCGGGTTGTGGCCAGGCTTGGCAGGAGCTGGGCTGTGAACCCTGAGCCCAGCCCTGTTAGGGGGTCCTGGAGAGGAGGAGCAAGGTGTCAACAGAGTAGTGATTAACTTCACTGGCTTAATTAGGGACCCTCAAATCAGGGTTCATTAGTTTTACTTGGGGACATCATTGGAAGGCCATGCTGGAGGTGGCAGTGGGGCTGGCACTGTCTGAAACTAAGAGCCTCTCTGCTCATTTTAGGAGCATCCTGCTGTGTCTGTAAAGAGGATGTTCATCTGGCCCAGGGAAATTAAATCATTTGTCCATTCACTCAGTGCAYGGCCTTGGATAGCCCAGAAATAGAACAAATTGCTCCTGGCAGCTGGCTCACGAGTCCTGCTGGTGTAGTAGGACATCAGCTTGGCAARCGTGGAGGTGCTGGGGGGATGTCCCTGTGGTCACGGGGTGCATATCCCGGTGGTCTTGGCTGGCATCTTTGATCAGAGGACCCTATTCCTCCTTTGCTTTGCTCCGTTAAAATAACAACAGTGTAATAAAAGTAATAATTCTTAGACTTGTGGGAGGAAAAATCTCAGAAAAGGCTATGAAATGTAATGGTTTGGTTCTTCTCAGGGGCAGCTTTTGCTTTGTGGCAGGTTGCATTTGCTTGGAGCATTCAGGTTCTTGCATTTTCMTGTTGGAAATGTGTCAGTGATCTCTGAGAGTATGTGCATGGAGGTGTAAAATATCTCCCAGATAAAATCATCCTCTGTCCTTTACTGGAACACAATTCTCTGGAAGCTGAATCAGTCTTAAAGATGAGTTAAAGGCTCTTATCCATTAATTCTTCAAATCTCTTTTTTTTTGTGTGAGTCATTTGGAAAAAACTTTAAATAGCATATCTTGGTCTTTTTTGAAACAAGCTCTTAGCCAGACAATCTGCAGTACTTTCTTATGGTAAGCTTTTGGCAAATTCTGAAATCTCGCCCCAGTAGTAAAGCAGAAGATTTCTCTTAGAAGGTTTTTTAAAACAAAATTATCTTTCTTGCTTTTTAGGAAGAGCAGTTTGATCTTTTTTTCCAAAATCCTGAAGCAAGATTTTTTTTCTTTTGCTTTTAAAATACACAGACAAATGTTGGTGGAGTTGAGGTTTTATGAAGACTCGTTGACCTGACATTTACTTTGGTGCTCAGTGGAACTTGCTGTGTCCTTTGMACTGTGTCTTTTGCCAGCGGAAAAGTTTGAACATAATGAATCTTTGGTCTCCRGCACTGGAGAGCTAATAAATAAATCTCAGCGGTGTGCTTGTTCYTATTAGAGAATCCCCAGGATTTCTGTGTGCATGGCTTGATTTTGGGTCCGTGAGGTGAGTCTGTGAGGGTGCCTGGAGCAGTGTCCTGTGGAGATCCAGCTGTCCTGCTCTGGGAGTGATGGGAATGGCTCTCCCCACGCTGCCTTTCAGTTTCACTTTCTTTTTGAATTTTTTTCCCCTTTTTTGTTTACTTTGCTAGCTTCCTGTAYGTATTGGAGCCTGACAGCTCCATGRAATCACTCRCACTTCCAGAGCCTCATTTGCCCCTCCTTGGCTCCATCGTGCCACAGGGGCAGGTTTAGCTGTTTAAAAACCAAGGCTTTATGCTGGGGAGATCAAAGCTGTGGTCAAACTTCACTTGGCCTAAAGTTTCAAGCAGGGCTTTTGATGGACACAGTGGTGAGGCTTAGCTGGATTTGGCCATGCCCCTGGAGCGAGGAGCTTCCTCACTGAGTGTGCAGAGCTGGGGAAGAGCCMAGTGCCAGCACAGCTCCATGCCCACGGACACCTCTGGCAGTGTGTGTGGCACAGAATGAGTTCAGCTTTCTTCAGGGATAGAAAAGCTGTTTGTGTCGTTGCCTGGTACCAGTCCCTTGAATGCTGAACATTTAACATGAGGTTTTCTCCTTTCTGGTTTTTTTTTTTTCCTTTAATCCGGCCATACTAAGCTAATTGGATGACGACTGTAACGGAGCCTGGGGAGTTGTGTCCCTCACTGGGACATGTGCTGGGTGATGTTGTGCTCAGCCTTGCGGCTTCACTTATGGCCGAAAATATTTCWCTTGCTCAGCAAAGTGAAAGGATTGGACTTGGCTGTTTTTTGGCATTAACCTTTGTCTCAGGCACAAAGCTGGAGGCTGCTCAGTATGCAGGCGTGGGTTTGAGCTGTTTGCAGCCTGGCTTGCTTCTCCAGGAACCAGAGTGAGCCCACCAGAGACAGCTGGGAGGCAAAGAGCTTTGTGTGCTGTCAAGGGACAGGGTGACGGTGACAGCCACTGGTCAGGAGCAGGCAGTGGGGAGGATGGAACGTTCAGCGAGGGCCTCACACTGTCCAGGGGCTGTAAACAGTGAATAATGTGTTTTTCTAAGGGAAAGTCATTGTGTTAAGGATACATGTATATAGATATGTAYGTGCATGCATACACACCTTGACAGAGGCTGGTGGGGTGTTCTGGGAAGGATCCTTCCACATTTCCCTGCTCTGTACCCTTCTCCACACATCACCTTCTGCTCCCCAGTAGAGCCAGCATGCTGGACTGCCCAGACTGCTGGTTTAACCCAATTCAGCCTTTTTTTATCATGACACCAGCCCAGCTAAGAAAGGTGGCRGGGAGGAAGGGACAAAGGTGAAGCAGAGGGAATCTCTCCTTTGGAAGGGAAAGCTCTGAGAAGGTCTCCAGTCWGGCACACGGTGGTGATGGAGCTGCCTCCTGAGGTCTGCCATTCTCTTGGGGTTGGCTTTTGGCATGGACAGCCCTCCTTGGCTTGTCTTGTGTGCYTTTGAGGGGTGAGCCATGGGTGTGAGCAGAACAGGGACCTGYCTCAAAGTGCTGCTGCTTTCATAGGTGARAGCCTTCAGYTCTGAGTGATTTCACAGTTTTCAGACCAGGGAGGTGGAGATATCGACCCRCTGTCGATTGTGTGTGAAGAGCAGMGCTCCCAACAAAGCAATRGGGACACRTCTGTGCCTTAGGCACCTGTTGGCCTGGTTAAACACAGCACWGAACGGGGTGCTGCTGGTTTGACATTACCTACGCAGCTGGTGCTTCTGGTAGGAAGGTTTAATAACTCGTTCCATATGTTTCAGTGGCARTAAATAGATCTGTTTCTGAAATGGAAATGGGATGTGGCTTCAGTAAAGCTTTGAAAGCTGTGCAGGGCGTTTTAATAGCCCTTTTCTCCTTGCCTCTGTAGAAGATACAAGTGTTGTGTGCTTGCCTTTTTCAGAYGGGACATTGAAGACTAAACTTCTTTTTCTCTGTATGAGTGTGAAAAGGTCTGTGGTACTCTTGTTGTTCACAGTGCTGAAGTCTATTCCTATTCAGTGAGGCAATTATGTTCTGGCTTGAATTTCAACTTATACTGCTTTCCTGGCCTGAAGCCTGTAAGACTGGGCTTTGTCCTCAGGTGTTTGGCACTTTTTTCTTTTCTWCCCTGCTGACTGAAATGTGGGCTGAGTTGGCTTTCAATATCCATGCAGAAGTAGCTGWGTTTTTTGATGCTCTTCATGTGGAGAACCTAAACTGACTAACAGGCTTATGAGTAACTCCATGCTTAATACCCTGTGCTGCAGTTTTAGGATGCTTGTTTTTTAAAGTGCCATTGAATCAAACTTTCTACTCCTTTTTTTTTTTTTTTTTTCTCTTTTTTTTTGTCCCTGTTTTTAGCGTTAAGCAGAGTTCCCGTTCCTCTGAGGCAGCTGAAGATGAAAAGGACCAGCGTACAGTCACAGTCAATCCCTCTCACATGAGAAAGGCTTTCAAGGTCATGAATGAATTACGGAGGTACACTTTTGACTTACTGGGCACCCTCTCTGGTTTAGCAGAATTGTGCTGGTTGGGGGACATAGAAAATAGTCTGTGCTATCTTTATTAGTTAAAATGATGATGTTTGCATCTAGAGGATTAATCAACAAGTAGGAAGCTAAAATATAGTCCTTTTGTGGTGGGCTCCTCTCCCCAGTGTCAGACCTCTGTCTTCCCAAAAACATTATCWGAGCCATAGACTTCATTTATAGATGGTAACTTGTTTAGTCTTTTCCATTACTTACAKCAAATTCAGCTGTAAACTATTTTCWTAACTGAGATAATGGTCTGAAACCCAATAATAGAACTTTATAGACACTAAGACACCTACACATAATTACAGACCAAAGATTATTAATGTACTGTTCTTTGTCTCTAACTAGCAGCATCACTCAGTCTGGGCTTAGCACTCCAAAGTAAAAAAAACCCAAGTACTCAAGAGGAATGTCAGCTCTCTTCTTGCAAATTAAAAATCCTGATATTAGTTAAAAGAGAACACCTTGGTCTCTATACAGCTGTGTGGGTACAGGGAGAACAGACACTGAAAAAATATCTGTGAATACAGCCTTGAAAGCTGCTGTCATCACATCAGCTGTGTGGTGGCAGTGGTTCAGCCTGAGCTGTTTCTTGGTTGCTGTTATCCCACAAACCAGATAGAAGTTCAGTGAGCATTTCTCTGACTAGTTCATTGGACTTAATCACCCTTCTAATTTTAAAAAGAATTCTTATGGAAAGTGTGTGTGTCACATGCATGAATGTATGTGCTGCCTCACTGTTGAGACGATGTGATGAAAGCAGGTAACACCCTTTGYTCTTCCTGCACACTCCAAGTACTCAAAAGAAGCTCTAATAGCCACTTACTTTCCGTGGATTAAGTAGTTTCCTAATATACATGTTCTTGAGAGTGGAGAGGGATTGGAAATRTTTCCTTCCACAGATATCTGACAGTGATTCTCTGTTGCATAGGAACAGAAAATGGAAATAGTGTAACAATTACATGAAGCTGAGTATGTTGTAATTTTCTTTTTCCTTTTAACTGGCGTCCTTCTGGTCCTTTCTTTGTAGTGAAAGCAAAGGATCAGAAAATAAAGGTTTGTGCAGCTCTATTCAGAAATCTTTTGTCCTACTGTTATTCCTTTGTTAATTGAAGCATAGTGGGAATAACTCTGAGACAGACGATGTTTCTTAGTGCCTGTGGTTAGGTATCTTGTGCAATACTGAACAGATAAAATAGAAGACTGAAAGCTGCCCTTAAGCACCTGTTTGATGCTTTCATCTTCTGGGTACTCTTTTTTTTTTTTTTTTTTTTTGCCAGCTCTTGCTGCTGCTGTGGAATACACAGTTTTCACCTCTCTTGAGTGTGCATTGAGCTTGGGCTATGTTAAGCTGTCGGCAATCAGTGTTAATAGATACCTTGAATAATAGTTTCTCGCTTCACATGCATCCAGAAATCTCATGCAGAAGGTCTAGAAAAATCATGCTAAGCCTTTAACCTATTTGCTATATAGAACCATAGAATAGTTTAGGTTGGAAAGGACCTCTGAAATCATTGAGTCTGACCCTTAACCCAGCACTGCCAGGCCACCACTAAACCATGTCCCTAACTGCCACTTTGGCTTTTAGTGTGCAAATGTAGATGACATTAATTTTATGAGTGGTACTTTAGATGACTGTAGTCCAAAGAGGAATTGAACCTTKTACATAAGCTAAAAGAAAAGAGGAAGCTTCCATTAAGAGGCTCTTAAAGAGTTYCCCTCAATGCCCTTCCCCCTCCCAAACTGTGATGAATGTAGGGTACAGACTGCCAGTTTCTGCTTTCTTCCTGTTTTCCATCTATAACCCTCCACTTCACAGTGGTTTTTCTCACATATTTCAATGTATGGAGAAGAGACATACCTGGTCCATTAAAAGCTCTCTTTATGTTTATTTGATAGTGCAGTTTCCTACAGACAAAGCCCAGTGTGAAGATAAGTATTTCCAAAGAGAAGGCAACATCTAGATTTACAGACACTGATCCTTTTTCGGGCTTGACATTTGAAAAGAACACCCTTAGTTTGCATTTGTATGCTTAAGCATCTTAAACCAACTTATTGGGAGGCTGAGCACTCCTTGCTGTCGGCATCTGYGGAGCTCTGTGCAAACATTAACTAATGAATCCTCAAAGGACATACATGGGGCGAGTAGGAAAGGTCACCCGTTAATGAAGTGAYTTTTCCAGAGCTCTACAATGAGTCAGTGGGGGAGCTCAGAAGGTATTTTTTTTGGGTTTCTTTCTGGAACCCCGTTCTTTATCCAGCAACTCTTAATACCAGAGTAATTCACGAGGTAAATGAAGTTCAGGCCCACAGATAAACTCCAGTGATTGATACCTCCTCTCTGGCAGATGGCTGAGGCAGCCTCTGTGCTTACCCGTGCCTGGACACATTTTGGTGGCCACGTTCTTTAGTGCCACTAAGCACAGAAGGAAGTTCAGAAGTTACTTACAGAAATCACTTCCTTTTCCACTCTTCCATTCCCCTGTGGAAAGATGAAAGTGCTGCTGGTGTTCCCTTGCATGGCTGTGTCTATGTCTTGTCTTACAGATCTGCTAAAGCCTGGCTCCATGTAGTGCCCAAATCTATAAACTCTTTATTTTCACCAAGCCCTATTTGTTTGAGAGGTGAAGAAGCCCCTTACCCTTTGTTCCCTGGGCAGCATATGTGCCTAGTTTGTCTTCCAGGATTTTTTCCTGGGGAAAGCAGAAAGGCTGCAGCCTCAGGCGGATTCAGCCCTTGCCTTGTAGGCAGTGATAGGAGCAGGTTACTGAAGGATCAGAGGACCTTCCCCTGGGATTTGGCAGAAGCTCAAGTGCAGTGTCTGTAATGTGGGTCTCCCATTTTTCGGGCTGTAGTGATGTAGCTTTTTGCCTGACCGGGGGTTCTGAAATGATCTTTGTCTTTTCTGGTGTTTCCCCAGCAAGCGGCTCCTCTGTGATGTGGTGATTGTGGCCGAAACCGTGGAGATGGAAGCTCACCGGGTGGTGCTTGCAGCCTGCAGCCCTTATTTTTGTGCCATGTTTACAGGTACTGCTTTTGTCACCAGACTGTGCTTGGGCTGAAGGGCCCCTGCAGTGCCCAGATCTTGGGCTATGTCTCCGTCAGGAGCTGCAGCAGAGGCAGGAGAGGCTTTCTTTCAGAAAAAAAAACTGATACAGAGGGGTGTGAAATTGCTGTGCTCGATGGATGATGCTGCTCACCCTTGRCTAATTCCTTTGGGGTGCTTGTATGGCTGTGGGGTGAGTGGAAAGCACGTGGGGTGCTGGGAGGTTGCTGTGGGGTTTTGCTCACTGCTTTAGGGGTTATTTTTCTTCCTCTAACAAGACTTTGGATCCTGAAAACATTACCATCAAGCACGTGTTCGGTGCCCTAAATGTTCATRGTGCACATCAAAGAGGTTGCTGGCACAGGAGTTGTAGTTTCAAGGCTCAGCCCTGCCGATACTGATTTGGCAGTCACAGATGTTTAATCTCCCATGGCACTTTTTTTTTCTGCTGCCTGAAATAACACCGTTGTTCTCTTGATCCCAGCGTGTTTTAGCAGCCCAGCTTTTTGGCAGGGTGCGTTGCTGCAGTCTGGTATGTTTTGGTAGTGACAGAAAGAAAGAAGAAGACAAAATTCTTGTTCTGATCACCTGATTCCTGTAGCAGGTGCCCTTCAAAGGCTGTGCCCAGATGGGTCAGCAAAAAAATAACCCAAAGAAAGCTGTGACAATCCKGAGGCAGGGGAGTGACCAGCTTATTCAAGTAATTCTAGTAAAATCAGTCTGGTCAGAAACTCCTGAGCTTCCTTCCTTTTCCTTGTCCTCATTTCCAGGATAGGGACTGACAAATAAAAATAAAATGATTGTACACCTCAGGGAATGGCTGTTACTGTCCCTGAGCTTCAACATAAATGAGGTTCAGGGGTTTTTCCCATTACATGTTTGTGGTCTGAGCCTTGCTTCCTCCTTTTAAAAGCCTTGAGATTGGACCTAGTTTAATTCACTTTGCTGGAAGCAGAATACAACATTTCTCTGGGAAGAATTTATCATTTGTGAAGCTTTTTTTTTTTGTTCTGTAGTGAAGGTGAGGGGAAAACATTAGGTGCACATTTTGATGCGAGATGTGACACTTGCCATGGTGGCTTTACTGCTGTRGTGAGCTGAGGTGGAGAGCATTTGTGTTTTCTGGGGCACTGGTGCTGCACCCCAAAGCTGGTGCTGCCCGTGGTGGTGAGGCAGAGGAGCAGATGCTGCTGTGGGTTTGGGTGAGGGCACCTCAAGCATGCCTTGGGATGCTCGTTCTGATGAGTTGAATAAAGAGAAACTCTTGGAAAAACCCTCTGATCCTTAGAGGTCATCTGAGCGGCAAGGTGGTGGGGCAGGGCTGCTCATGTTTCCATGCAGGAATTCTCTGGGCCGTGTAATCCCTGGCTCTGTGAGTTAAACAGTAATCAGCTCACCCGTCATGTGGCTGGCTCTGAGCTCCCCTGGGTGGGGGACAGCTTCTGCAGCCGCCTGTCCCCTCCCCCTGACACGTCCCTGGGGGCAGAGGGTCAGGCAGAGACCAGCTCTCCCTTTGCTTCCAGGCCAGCTGTCCCCCAATTCCAAAGGTCTGGATCTGTCTCTCGGGCAGGCAGAGGGGGTGATCTCCTTCCAGCTGTRTGGGGGTTCCCTCCCTGCCAGGGACAGGTTAAAATCACAGTTTCTGCTCCAGCTGCTTGTCGAGACTCGGTTTGTTTGTGCTGCCCATCAGTGATGGAGCCCAGGGCTCAGGGTTGGCTGCTCTGTGGGGTGTTTGCAGGAGCTGCTTGTGCACACAGAATTCCCACTGGAGGGGTCCCCCAGMGGTGCTGGCAGCCACGAGGGAGTAGAGAGTGGTCAGTGTGGAGCTGGGAACAGTGGGAACCACACTGAGACCCACAGCTCGTCCACCTTTGCCTGCTGCTTGCTGTGCAGGCTCTGGCCCTGTCAGCTGGGCCTGACTTTGGAGCCGTGAATGACCTTGGGATGACTTTGGGGGGGTTATTCCTAAACCATCTTGTGTCCTCTGGTTGGCCATTCCTCTCTGAAATATTCCTGGGAAGTCTGAAAATGGGTAGGAACATTTTCCACTGTGTCTTTCACCGCTGAAGGAGAGCACTTCCTGAATGTCCCTTTCCATACGGAATTTCTTGAGCATTTTGGATGGTGTCTGGTCCTTTTTGGCACTATTCTGTGGGGAWGATTTGGGACAGTAATTTCTGTCCATTTAGCAGAAAACACAATCATTTCAGAAAAGGTAACAAATGCTTCAGTGACGCTGCTAGGACTGCTCCTGTCAGATACCTTTGGAATTTCAGAAGTGCTGAAGGAGGAAGGAGAAACCTCCCTTGCAAGCCTCATGTGCTGCCTCAGAGCACTCATCCCATCTGTGGTTTGTTATCCACTGCACATCTGTGCCTTAGGAAGCAGCCAAAGCTGTGGTTTTGGGAAGCCTCTCTGGATTGCAGTGTTTAGGCAGGGCAGGCTGCAGTGCTGGGTAAGCACAGCTCCAGGGGCTGCTGCGGTTTCCAGYGTAGTTTATCTGGTGACAAAACACAGCTCTGCTCTCTCCTCGCCCTYGTGAGCAGGGGGCAGCGGGGAGGGCACTGCTGGGTGTTGAGTGTGGTGCAAGAAAGACCTGCCTTGCTGAGGGGCTGCTGTCTGTCCCTRCAGAGGCTCTGCTCAGAGCCACCSTGCCTGTTYTGCTCCTTTGCCCCTCCTGCCTTGTCCCTGTGCCTGCCTGGCTGCACTGGTGCAGGGATGGGGCTGTGCAGCCTCGGGCAAGGCAGCTTTGAATGATTCTGCAATTAAGGTATCAGCTAAGGCTSGAGTCTGACTTAGGAAAAACACCCTAGGAGCTGGGTTTTGTGGGGTTTAAAGCAAAGGGTTGTTTTTCTAGGGTTGTTTTCTTGGATAGATGAGATGCCCTTGGTGCTCAGAGGCTTGCCCTGGCTCTGTGCCTGGAGGAAGGGGCAGCCTGTTGCCTGCTCCTTCCTGCACCAACCCCTGCCTTGGATCACTGGTGGTGTCTCCAGGTTCTTCCTCATTCCRCAGCACCAGGGAGTTGCCCACCCTGTGGCAAGCGGGAGGAGCTCRGTCACAGCGACTCAGATGCCATCTGACCGTGGGGCACAGCACAGGAGTGTCCCCTCTCGTGGTGCCTGGGCTGCTCCCACAGCAGAGGCGCTGGAGGCTGGTGGTGTGCCGGGCTGGCAGCTTGCTGGTGGGTGGGGGAGCCCACACAGCTTTTATTTTTGTTGCCTGTGTCACATGGATGCCACGGCGGCGATGATGCTGTTGGATTGGTCCCTCCACGCTATTTCTGCATYGGTCTCTGGGTGTGTGGGGCTGAGCCTCCTCCCTGAACCCAGGGTCCTGCAGGGCTCCAACTTCTGCTCACCTTCCCCAAACACAGGGGGTTTGTGGGTGCTCCTACAGGCAGGGCTGATGGGGACTGGTCTGTCCTCAGAGGAGCCCTCTCATCTCTGGAGATGTTTGGGATTTTTTGGTGGGGAAGAAGTGTGTGAAGATGACATTTTGTCAATTAAAAAGCCCTACCTGCTTTGAAGGCCTCCCAAATGTAGGTCATCTATCCCTTTGTACTGGTACATTTGTATTCATGGGCTCYTCTGAATAACACTTGATGATTCAATTTTAAAAATTGAATTTAGGGCAAATATTATTTCAGTTCTTGGGATGCTGTTGACTCTTCTAACAGTCATGGACCCAACCCACTCCTGTTATTTGCCTCGGTATTCACGTAARGGAAAGTCAGCAAAGTTCAATTAGCAGGATCCAAGGTTTTGTTCAAGTTTGGACCCCCTTTAGCTGCTGACTCTGTGCTGTGACTTCCTGCACCCAGCCACGTCCTGTCGAAYGCTGCACACAGATGTAGGCTGTAATTACTTCTATAGGCTGCAGGAAATATTTTTCCACTTAATCCCACAGCAGTACTGAGTCACCAGATTTCTGAGAGAAGTGATTATTCATGCCCAGGTTTAAGAATTGGCATTTCTTCATGCTCTCCTTTGTTTAGCTTTATTTTTCCACCTATCATTTTCTTTCCGCTTGGGGGTTTGTTCCTTCTTTTCTGTGGAGACCCTGATGATTAAATCCTGGGGGAGGTCGCTGTGTGTGGGGTTGCTGGAGGGGCCGTGGGGAGTCCTTTCTCCTCCMCACAGCTTGATTTTGTTCCTCTGACGTGCTCCTGTTACGCAGGGGGTGTGGAGGTGTGGGTAAAGCTCAGGGTCACAAATAGGCTCTTACACATCTATGGGGTTTTACTTGTGTAAAACAGTAAATTCAGGGAGGAAATGATTGCTCCAGTTCCACGTCCTTTTGAGTCGTGGGTTGGAGAAAGGATACAGCTTGGATCCAAAGGTGTGAGGTTGGGAAGGTGAGCGGTGAGAATTGCATTTCTCTCATCCCAAAGCATTGTGGATGCTTTGCCCAAAGTGTAAGGGATGCATGGGTTAGAGCAGGGTGATTTAGGAGAGAGGCTGGCTGCATTCTGGGTGTWGCTGCTGCCTGTGGGCTTCTTTGCCTCAGCAGGTTCCAGCTTCTTCCTAAAGAAACAGAATAACCCTGCATTRCTTTTTATGTAGGGCAGAGCACAGAATACCCTGATGTATATAATACTCATTCTATCAGTATGTTTATATATAAAAAAAGTTCAATATATTTCTAATAAATATATATAAAAATAKATTTTGCAAAGGCCTTCCTAAGACTTTTCCACAGTCTCTTTGAGGCTGTGCCTGTGCTGAGACATGATTGAGGGACACACTGGGGTTTTATTTTTAGCTCTTGTATTTGTTTGAGTGCAGGTGAACCATCACAGGYTCTTTTCTGTCAAGAAACCAAGTTTGTTGCATTTATTGATTTATTTTGTTTTACACTAGTGTCCTCAGTCTTGAGTTGCTGAGGACATTAGGAGGCTTTTGGGAATCTCACTGGCTGTTCTTCAGTGGTGAGGGTGAGGGAGAGTGCCAGGCAGCCTTGTAGYCAGACACCAGGGGAACGTGCTGGATGTGTGGGGAGCAAGCTCTAACTGTCCTTTTGAAATTAATTTCAGGAGACATGTCTGAGAGTAAGGCCAAGAAGATTGAGATCAAAGACGTTGATGGGCAGACCCTGAGGAAGCTGATTGATTACATCTACACYGCTGAGATCGAGGTCACCGAAGAGAACGTGCAGGTGGGTCTGGTTCAGCAGCTCCTGTGGGGAACCAGGGGAAAATCTTGGAGCTCACAGGAACAGGTCCTTCGGGGGTGAGGGATCTCCTCAGGCTGCAGAAAGTAAAAGACTGAGCTTGAAAAGAGCCACTTCCAGCCTCTGTTTAGTCTTGAGGCACTTCAGTGCTTTCCCTGTGCTTAAGTCATATTGCATTTGGCTTTTGTGTGGAGCTCTTGTAACAAGAGCAGGCATTTGCCTTCCAAGAAGCTGTGCTGACTTGTGGGTCAGTCTGTCGAAGGTCAGAATAGACTCAAACAAGCAGCGAGTCAAATGTTTCGAGGCTATGGCAGAGGAATGTGGCTGTTAGTTTTTAARTTCTTCTGGGTAGTTTGAGTTGTTTCACGGAGCTTTGAGTGGAGTACATTGTTCAAACGAGGACATTCTTCCTTTTTTTGTGTGTGTGTATGTGTGTTCTGTCTTGAATTTCTGAGAGGTAAATATTTGTCYAGAAGTGGAAAGAGTAATTGAAAGGCAGCCTTCAAATAAAGCAGGGTGCTCAGGAAGAGAGTGTTTTGCAGTTTGTCAGTGGCTGTGGCTGCTGGTAAAGCTCTTTCTTTGACTCTGCTTGTGTTTGTGGTAAGAAAAAGGCTCTGCACTTAGCCACTGATGTCTGGAAGGGATGCTGGGAGCTCGTGTGTGGACATGCTTTTCGTTGGTCTCTGTTTTTGTTTGGAAGCAGCAGTTYGAGCCTGTTTGTCTTCCTCTCTTTGACTTGGTCATTGCCAGGGGAACAAGTCTGTGTCCATGATGCTGGAGAGGCTTYTGTTGACCTAATTGACGTGGCAAAATGAGACTGGTTCTGCTTGAGATGRGGTTCTTGCTGTGAGCTCTGCTGCTCCCAGCCCTCAGGGCGAGTGCAGGTTCTTGCTGACCTGTGTCAACAGGAGGAGGGACAAACCCCTGAGCTGGGCCCCCTTTGCAGTCCAACCCTTTGCCATCCTTCCTGWCCTAACTCTGGGGGAGCCTTTCCTTGCCCCATCTGCCCTCCAGTTTTACAAATGTGACTTTTTGGTGTGCTCTCAGCCTGGCAGGTGTCACCCTGGTAGGAGTGTGGAGCCTGGTGGCCCTGCAGTGAGGCTGAGAATTGTCAGCAGGAGATCTTCAGGGTGCCATTGTGACACAGGAGATGAGCTCAAACCCTGCTGTGGGTGGTTGGCCTGGCTGTCAGCTGTGTGACCCACAGCAGGGTCAGCAGGAGCTGACACACAGCATTACTCACTGGGGGATTGGGCTCCTTGCACCTCTGGATCTTGCATTGCTGGAGGAAAAATGACTTTTATTCACCCTCAGGCTGGCACCTGTTTCTGTGGTAAATACAGAGGCTATTCCCATGTGCTTTCTGCAGCCTGTGCTTCCCYTCCATGCTGCTGGGTGTGAGGGGGCCCCCCTTGGCATGTGGGGTGTGCAGAGCTGATCCATCACTGAGCCTGCCCTGGATGGGGCTCAGGGAGTGACTCCAGATGCATTCCAGGGGAATGTTTTGGTGCTGCAGCTGCACCTGGGTGTAAGAAATGCTGTGAGAGCTGAAGCATGGAGTTCTGTCTTGCCCAGAAGGTCTGGGAAAAATCCAGGAGTTTTCTGACCAACTGGAGGGCAATCTTTTCCAGTAAAACCTAACCAAAGCCTGCCTTCTGTGGCCCRGGGATTACAAGGAGTTAAGGTAGATCCCTGGCTGTATTTTGGCTTTCATCTCTCAGATGGTAAGACAAAAAAAAGGTAAGTTTTGAATACTAAGTGGTTTTTCCCCATCTAGCAAAGCAGGTCCTTTTACTGCAGCATTTWTTTCCATCTGCATTCTGTGAGTAACTCTTCAGGCTAGAGGTAAATTAATTCTTAGGAGCTAAGAAATGAAGCTGATCTACTGCAAGATTAACTGACTAGTTTAAATTTTATTATATGTTTAAAATGTTCATGCTGAAAATGTTTTATGGAATTTAATATARTTGTGTTATGAAACCAATAGAAAGAGAAATCTCTGTCCTGTCTCTGGGTGTTTTACTCTGAACAAAATGCCATAAACATGTTAATATTCACCTGCAGCCACAAGAAGAAAAGGTTACTGAAGTGGATATTCTGTGATTTGTTGGAAACTTTCAAATTAAGTGAAGGGTAAAAACAATACAAATTAAGCTCCTTGTAGTCTAGCCTGAATTAGCAGTGTCAGTGTTAGAAAGAACTGAGCAGGTTTGGTCTCTTGCATCACCACATCCTCCAGTAGCACAGTTTTGGGTCATCCCTCCGTCCATCCATCCATCCATCCATCCATCCATCCATCCATCCATCCGTCCGTCCGTCCGTCCGTCCGTCCGTCCGTCCGTCCCTCTGTCCATCCATCCATCCCTTCATCCATCCATCCCTCCATCCCTCCATCCATCCATCCCTCTGTCCATCCCTCCATCTGGAAGGACACCTCAGTAGTGCCTGTCTGTGACATTTCAGCAACGTTCCTTTGCAGCTTTGCCTGAGCACAGTAAGACTTTCCCCAGCAGGTATCTCCTGAAGTCTCCTATTGTCTTGTCTCATATTCTGATTCTTTAGCAGGGCAAGGATTATTCTCTAAAGGAGTTTTTCAGACTTTCTCAGTAGCTGAAAGACACAATTTCTGGGTAGAGGTGCCAGGTAATTTCATTGTAGAAACTATGAAAAAAAAAAGAAAAAATGGTATTAATTGAGCAGATGCAGCCAAGGTACCAAAACYTGTGAATAAATGAAAAGACACTGTCTTGTCAGTGAGAAAAATAAGATGAGAGCAGGGTAGAAATGAGAAAAAGATGAGCAGCAAAGGTGTCATGGAGCACAGAATGAATGTTCCCAGGTGTGTTTGAATGYTGAGCAGTGCTCAGCTCTTCACAGCAAAAAGCCTTTTCACAGGATTTTTGTTGTTTCTTTTCTAATAGAAACCTGTATTTTTATTTTTTTTTTCTTTTGTAGGCCTGGTATGGGCTCAGGAAATGTGTCTCTTTTTCTAAGCACGTATTTCTGTAGCTGCTTGTGCAATGAAATGACACAGTGTCTTTTGTTTTGTTTTTTATGTAAGGAAGGATATGTGTGTGAGGGGCCAAGCCTGTGCAGTCAGTTCCAGTCATCATCTATGTGGGGAGTTCCTGCGRGTGTTCATCCAATTTCTTCTCAAGTTTATGTCCCAAATGTGCAGGAAAAGGGGATTTTCAGCCTATCTTCAGCCCATGTGGAGGGAATACTCACTTCTAACCCTGCTAGGGTACAGGGGTGACAATCACCCCAACAAATGCAATCCTGCTTTATTGGGACTTCATTCTGAGAGTGAGATTTCAAGGCAGTGTAGATGCAGCAATAGGAGGGCTCAGAGATGATGGATGACAGAAGTTTTACCTGTGAACATGCATTTGGGATTTAGCCTCCCACTTGTTTGGAAGGCGTGGAGCAGAGACAGAATTTCTGTCTTTGTGGCAGTCATGTTGTAGTTTCAGGAAAATCCATCCTGGGATTTCTGCACCTGCTGCCTTCTGTTCTTCCTCTTCTGTTGCATCCCACATCAAGGTTGGTTGTAAAATTTCATATGCTTGATATAAAGATCTCATTCATTTAAAGGTGGAGCTGGATATATTTATTTAGAAGGAAGTTGTGTCACGCAGTTTCTGTAAAAGGAAGGAAGACTAAAGTGAGTGTCTTGGGGAAGTTCACAGATGCTCAGGTGCAGCCCTGGGTTGATCTCAGTGGAAATCATAAACACACATCAGAGCACAGGGCCTGCTGYTCCTACCTGGGTGGGATAGCTGGTGCTTTTAACATATTAATTACCTCAATTTCTGCATGGTGTCCTTGAGCAGAGCTGAATGAAGAGATTTGTGAGCAGGCCCCTGCCCCTGTGTCCTGGGAAGACACCTGGACCTTTGGCTCTAGACAGTGAATACAGCCCCTCTTTGTGTCCCAACCCTCCTTACCTGTGACACTTCATTACTTCATTACTGACAACTGCCCTGCCAATTAGGAAAGTAATTTCCATTCAGCTTCTAATGATTCCCTGGGAAAAGKCCTGATTAACAGGATGCCACAATTAAGTTCCCATGAATGATGTGCTGAGCAGCACATGTGTGAGGTGTCCTTGTGTCCTGCCACAGTCTGAGAGGTGGCTCGCACACAAATCTGAACCAAATCTGAAATCAGCTGTCTGCAGGARGTAGATACTGAACCTGTCAGCTTTGCAGGCATAGTAATTGTCATAAAAAATGTCTTGAGAARAGAGGAAGAAAGCGTTGCTAGGAGCTGCAGTATTTCCATTTCAGAAATGCTTCTGCACCTCAGCTTTCCCTGCGGACTTAGGAGTTCACAGCAAGGAAGAAGAGTTCTCTGGCAGATGCAATTTTGAGGATAAAGGGGTTATAAGTGAATCAGTTTATCTCTCTTCCCATTGTTCAGTCCAAAAGCTGCAACTGTAGCAGGTGCAAGCCCAGGGTGAGGCAGAGCACCTTTCAGCAATAAATCATCAATAAATCTTCTTCTCTGGAGCCAAAGCTCTTTGCCATGCATCGCTCTGGAGTGCTGGGGGCCCTGGTCCATTGCAGGGCTGGGTGGGGGCCCTGCCTTAAACCTATAGAAAATCCTTTTGAATGCCTTGGCTTGATAGCAAGCTGAGCAGAAACTTGTGGATGTGGCACCAGAGGACTATTTTATGCCTGATTTTTTTATTTCACTGTTTAACCAAGGGCTGGTGTGTCTGAAGTTGGAGAGGTAGCTCAGGAGGGAAGTTGCCAGCTGTTCCCCTGTTTCTCTCTCATCTCTAGATCCATTGTCCTTCTCCTGCTCCTGACAAGGTTTTATGACTCCCTGATCCCATCACACCTTCCTTTTTCTGGGCTATTTCAGCTGAGGTGGAACATTTAAATGGAAGCGCTGTTGTTGAGCTCRTGTGCTGCCTGGGAGCAGCTGGGGTGTAATAAAACCTAATTGCTGCCCTTGCACTCAAAAGCCATATTACACTAATGGAGTTTTATCTCCACTTCTTGTGCTGTTTAGAGCAGCTTGTCTGAAACTGAGTATTTACCTGCCTTGCAAACACAAATCCATTTGTTTCTCTGGTCATGGGCTCCCCTGGGAGGCTGCCTGGGGGCTCTGTCCCTGTTTGGGCAGATGAGCAGTCCCAGCTGTGGCCTGGGATGTGCAGCTGAGGATTTGACCAAATTGTCAAAGCTGCTTATAAGCTTTGACACATCCCCTGCCCAGGGGAGATGCCCCTTTCCCMATTTTGCAGAGCAGGAGTGATGTAAGTTAACTTTTGGCCATGGCTACCTGTAAGGCTGTGCCACAGCAGGGAGTTAACCCCAGTCTCTGTGGTCCAGCATTAATGAATGAACCTTATAGCASCACAGAGCACTTTGGGCTGAAAGATGTTTCTAGTTTAGAGACATCAAAGGTCTGTGAAAGTAATTGAACAGGCAATGTTGTGTAAAACTTGAAATTGGTGTGGAGTCTGCAGAGCACAGCTGGTGAGCTAGATGGTCATATGTATTTATATCTCTAGACACACACCCCATAGATGAGATTCTGGACACAAATTAGGCAAAGCAGTCAGTCTCAGTAGCAATAGCAGATAATTTTGACATAGTTTCAAAAAATGAGTGGGTTTTGATCTGGAGGCAGATCTGGTAGAAAAGCCAGCTCTCTGTAAATCGTTCAYGGCTGTTGGAGTTCAAGAGCCAAATCCAGACCCATGTGAGTAACTTGCCTGGATATTAATGGGGTTGCAGTTTGGTCCTGCTGCATGTTTAGGCAGGGCATTTCCTCTTGTTATTTCTAAAGGAAATGGACTTTGTTCTCACGGAAATCCTTTGCTTGCTTTTCGCCTTCCCTGGTAAAAACAAGATGAATGTTGAGACGTTCAGCCGGGAAATAAGAAAGAGAAAATCCCCTCATCTCTTGATAGGCTCTTTATATCCCATTTCTGAGAAGTGCTGTGTGATAATGCCCCTTTCCCAGAGGCTGCAGTGGTTCCTCCTGCACTGCCCCTCCAGCCAGCACAGGCTGTAACAGTTCTGGTTTGTCCAGGGGCTGTTCCATGGGGTGGTGGTGCTGAGTTCCCTTTGCTCTGGAGGCAATATCCCAAATCCTGGAGGTAAGCAGSTCACCTGGATTGGCAGGAGTGCATCCTGGATGGACAGGGGTGTGCAGAGGAGGCTCTGGCTGGTCTATAKCCAGAGATGGTCTGCATGGAGTCTGACTTGTCTACCCAAAGCCCTCGTGCAGCTCAGGTGTTCAGAAATGCTTCAGCTAGAGAGAAAGTGGTTCACAGCTAGGTTGCAAAAACCTAGAGCACTCTTGACTTTACCAAAGCCACAATCTGCTCCTGGCATCAAGAGGCTTGGGCCAAAACAGGTTAATTGATTTCTCTTTTTATTGTTGCCCATTGGGGTGGCTCCTGGCAGCAGTCAGGCACTGWACAGCAGGGCTGGAGTGGAGCACATCAGCTGCTTAGAAAGAGCTGGAGCTGCTTGTGTGGGTCCTGCCCTGGTGTGCAGTGGGGCTGTGGTGGCAGCAACAGGGAGGGAACATCTTCATCCCTTCCCAGGGAGGTGAATGCTGTTAACCTATTTGTTTTGTTTAACAGCTGCTTGGTTGTTTTTTTTTTTTGAGTTGGAAATAATTTTCCGGAAATGTGTGCTCAGATGGTGAGCACAGATGCCCAGTTGGAAGGACATGTGTGAGGCAGCCCGAGCTGGGCATAAGAGCTGGAATGAGACTGAGGACAAGTCTGCAGTTGCTGTTCAACATAAGAAAGGAAGTAGCTGATGTCACGGGCTGTTATGTCCTGATGGACTTTGTTTCCTGCTTCCTGTCCTTCTCACTGGCCTCCAAGGTGTTTTTTTTCCTAGCAGATGTCACATTCCTCATCCATTTCTTTCTCCTTTTTCCGTGCTTAGCTTGGGAGGTACAGCAGTACCTCATTTTCAGACRCAGTCATGAACCACAAGTGTCCCCAGCATTTTGTGTGAGTGTAWATGAGGGCTGTTGGAAATAACAAAGTCCAGGGTTTTGAGGACTGCTGGGCTGCTGTGGGCTTTGAACTTGATGGCAATGCTTATAAATAATATAAAGCTCTTTGGGGAAAAAAAAAAATCTGTGTGCAGCACCTACCTGCAGCAAAGCCAGAAATTCAGGAGCATCTGTGGTTGCTTGTACCTTGTCCTCACTTTGCCTTGAGGTCTTGTGGGGAGAAACTGTGAGAAGAGTTCCACTTATAGCTCAGTGTGGGATAGCCATTTCCACGCCTCAGAGCATGAATGGGATCTTCTAAGCCTTGAACCTTCGTTGTCGTACCCCACAGGGAAAGCGAATTGCCTCCAGTTTGTGCAAGCTGTGAATCACTCCYCGTTGCTCACTCTCATTCCCCTCTGGTGCCTTTGCAGGTTTTGTTGCCAGCTGCTAGCTTATTGCAGTTGATGGATGTGAGGAAGAACTGCTGTGACTTCCTTCAGTCACAGCTGCACCCCACCAACTGCCTGGGCATCCGCGCCTTCGCCGACGTGCACGCCTGCACCGAGCTGCTGCAGCAGGCCAACGCCTATGCAGGTGAGACAGGGGATGGGCTGGCTCTGCCTCAGGTACAGCAGCTCCTGGGCACAGCCACAGCTGCACATCCTGCCCAGGCTGTCCACACTGCTGCTGTTAGAACAGGGAAGGGAACGCTTTGTTGGGTTCTAGGTTTGTGGTTTCCTGTGATGCTGCAAGTTATGAGATGTGGGCTGGTCACAGAGGAGCACTGTAGGAGGTAAAAATCCCTGTCCCTCTTTATCTCAGCCCACAAAATAGCTCCTGGGTATGATCCTAGCAAGCTCTTGGTGTGCCTGTTCAGCAGCTCAGCATTGGTGTGCTGGTGTCCTTCCTGTGGACCCTGCCCTGGGAGCGCAGCAGGCAGAGCTGGGCATTTCCATTGTGGAATAAATGGCACTGGGCAAAATGAAATCCTGAGCGTGGAAGCTGAAATTGCCATGCAGTTTGAGCCTCTGATCTGAGCAGCAATGGTCCCATACCCTGGGGAGGAGAGGYTCATGTTTCCTTGGGAGTGGATGTGTTTGTTTGCAGTGAGTAGGTGCAGGCAATGGCTTTCAGCATTTCTCCTCTACATCATAAATGTGAAGCTGTTTCAGGCAGCCCCAAGCTCTGAATTCCCCAGCACTTTCCAGTCTCCTCCAGCAGAGTTGCCCTTGACCTCTGCTTGGAAGAAGCTGATAGTTTTCTCTGAGTTTGTTTTTCTGCCTTTCTGATAATTTGTACAGGGACACATACACCTGCTGTCTCCCAGAGCACCTGCTCTGTCCTGCAACATTTTCCTTTAGAACCATTTTGTCTTTAATTGGACCRTAAGTAGGCTCAGTGGAATAAAAATGTGTCCACTGAGTCCTCCCCTATTCTTCTGCAAATAAAAATAAAACCTTTTCTGCTTTTTACCTGCAGAAAAAGGTACCCTGGAAGGAATGGTTAATTGTATAAAAGTTTGCTGGTAATATCTCATTATCCTTGCTTCCAGGCCCTGTTTAATCTTTAACCCAACAAGCAGTGCATTCGCTGTATATTTATTTGGTTGTTTGGCAATTAGAAGGTCTGCTTTGTTGTTTTATTGGCCTTCATAAGTCCCAGTTAGCACAGCAGCCCATGTAATGTTAATGGAACTCCATTAATAAAAATGCYATTAAAATTCTTTTCACTATGTTGTTTATGTAACAGCCTTAAACCAAGACAGAAGTCCCCAAGCTCAAAAGTCCATGCGTGCACGAGCTCAGTTCCTTGAGAAACTGAGTTCTGGCCAATGGATAACTTTAGTGGGTGGAGGAGCTTTCTTGATGCAGGCACCAGTTACTTTATTAAAATCAGTAAATATTCTTCTTTGCTTCCATCTAATAACAAGAGACCAAATACCTTTCTGCTGCCAGATSCAAGTCCAGAATGAATGAATATGAGATTTTTGTCCAGAAGTCAAGAGTGCATCCAGCTTATTGAGTGGGGAGTGTTTCCTGCCTCTCAAGTGTTTAAGGCCAAAAGAGTTCATTAAATCATACATATCTATTTCCAGCATAACAGAGTATTAAGCTTTATCCACATTCTGCTATTTTTAATCAGAGCCTTTGGCTTAGCTGTGGGGTTTTGGTCCTCAGTAGATCAAGGAGGGTCCGTGARTGGGGGCCCCACTTCCAGAGTCCAACTCTGCAGCAAGACCTCGGTGAAGGGTTGTTCAGGGGTGCCAAAAAGCTCCTTTCTGGAAATTATGCTAGCTCATGTCCCTGTGGTGCTGCTTTTTGCCAGGCAAAGCACTTTGCAAATGTGAAAACTTGAGGCAGATCTTGCTGCGGAGGGAGCAAGCAGCTTGGGTGCAGTAGTCTGAGCTTCTCAAAGCTACAGAATTAGAGCTTGAAAGAAGCTGCTTCACATAAAGTGTCTGAGATTCATGTTTCTAGAATTCATCCAAAGATAAATGGGACTTAGTGAATGACAGGTGAGATTAAATTGGCAGTATATGTAAGAAATTCTTGCAAAACTAAAATTGCTGCAACTGCCTAATGACATATTTGACCTAGAAATTATATTTTAGGAMGTGATTATTTTGTGTGCCTTTTGGCTAGATATAAAATTTGACAGATTTGATGATGTTCAGTCATAATTCTTCCAGTTTGRGGTTATAATCAGTGATGTGCATTTTGTTTTCAAGGGCTCCCAGGGTCACAGCATGGGGGGATCTGGAGGCAAAAAAGGGAGAARTAGAAGTTTGTGCAATTGTAGGCTGAAGTGGGAAGGGGAAAAGCTACTGGGGAAGGTGGGTGCTGAGGGTTTGGAACAGGAGAAAGGTTAAATTTACATTATTGGGGGAATGAAGCAGAAGGTGGAAGGAGAGGGGAGCTGATCCCATATGCATGTGTAGGGTGAAGATCCCCTTGCCCTCCTCTCTGTGTGCCCCCTGCACACTCAGGTTCAGCTGTGTAGCTGCTGAAGTGGGCAAGAACTGAATCTCGAGCTGGCCAGGTTATTTATCACTTTGGAAAGGCATTGGAGTTTGTTTCAATTACCACTTCTAACTGCACTGAGCATGGCAAGTCTCTCAGTGGCTTTTCAGAAAGTTTAGTGTCATTTATGAAAGTATTTCATGGGGTTTGTGCTACTTGAAACATCGGATTTCTGTATCCTGCTCTGAGGCTGGTTTGTTTGTGTTCCACACAGCCACTRTGGGTTTGTCTCAGGGCTGTTCTCTGAATGCTGTGGTCCTTCCATTGACTGAAAATGTGGATTTCATTATAATTTTCTCTTCCCCCTTTTCATTTGTTGAACAGAGCAGCACTTCCCTGAGGTGATGCTAGGAGAAGAATTTCTTAGCCTTAGTCTGGACCAGGTTTGCAGTTTAATATCAAGTGACAAGCTCACAGTCTCCTCTGAAGAAAAGGTACAGTAAATTGTATAGTAAGAGTGAATGTAAGAATGCTGGACTGTTTCTAGATCTTTCACTGGGAACTGTTATCATGATATGCTCCTTAGGAGCCATTCTCCAACAGAGATCATGTGGAAAGGAAAATTAAAATAATGCAAATCCTAAAAACACATTAAAATGACCTTCACTTGGTTGTTCTTTGCAGAAAGTTATGACTCAGATCCATATCACTCCAAAAGCCCTGGGGCTCAGAACCAACTACTTTCCCTCTCTGGAAAACTGGGAAACTCCCAGTTGCTGTTGTGTAAAACATTTAATACCTGCTGCAAAGCCTCAAAAAAAAGTGAATTTCATTAGGCCAGGGAGGAATATTGGCTTCTATTGCATGTTGGATAGAACAACAAAAGGAAGCCTGCAACCAAAAAGAAGGATTTTAGCATCTTCAGTGTTTTTAATGAAAGAGGGGGGAAAAGCACTGTTTGACACTGCTTTGTGATTGAAATGTTCAATGTATCTGGGGTAGTCTGGCATCCTGGGGAGGAGGGGGAGCAGTGCTTATGGTGCTTGGTGAACTCCAGCCCCWTTCTGGAGACATTCTGGTTTCTGGGGACAGATGTGTGCCACCAGTCCTTCAGCTCACCTCCAAATTGTCACTGCGGGGAGTTTGTAAACTCACAGAACCGATTGTAAACTCACAGAACCGTTAAGATTGGAAAAGACATTTAAGATCAAATCCAACCACTAACCCAGCACTGCCAAATCCACCACTAAACTGTGTCCCTCAGTGTAAATGGTCACTTGTGGGAAGCTGCAGGAGAGCTGGAGGATGGTGTGGTTTGTAAYTTCAGGGCCCTTGTGGGATGTGAGTGTGGGTGGGATGAGGCTGGACCTGGCTGCAGACACAGAGGTGCTTGTGGCCACAGGGACTGGAAAACTCACCCAAAATCCTGCTGCATGTGAGGTGTGGGCACAGGGATGCTCCCTGCTGATCCAGAGCTGGCACATTTGTGTTTCTGCAGGCATGGGGCTGGTGGGGGCTGTGAGATGCCACTGGGGCAGGGCCAGGGAAGGAAACAACAAATGGCACCAGCTCGCAGCAGAATTGCCTGGCCTGAGCCAAGCAGCCCGCAAAGGGAAGTGCGAGTTTAGTAACCAATTTTTTCCAGTCCTGTGCAGCATTGTTCAAAAGCTTTTATTGGCTTTGAGCCCAGGGGAATCAAAATGCTCCTTCCCTCATCTGAGCTTTACACAGTCAAACCCAGTATTTCTTCAGCTAATTGTAAAAGAACTTGTAAAAGAAAAGATTGTTGAGAATGCAAGGCAGTGGAAGGAAATGTGAGGATAAGCTGCACGTTCAAAACARCAGATCTGAGTAACAGGAGAGAGGCAGAAAATGGGAATGGAAYATAAACATGAAATGTGCTGGAGTTCAAAGAAGTGCTGGAAATAGGGGACAGACTCACAGGCTGCTGTTTTGTGTTAATTTCATGACAGACAAGCCATTTCCCTCACTTTTATTCTTCCTATCTGCTAATGATTGTGATATATATTATAAAGAAATTATATAAAAATATATGTGTGTGTGTGTGCCAGTCTGTACATACACACATATATCCATGTGCGTGCACRTGCAAAACACTTCAGAAATCTGGGAGCTCAATTGTCACAGCCAGATTTCTCAGGAAGTTTTCTGATTCCTGTGCTTACTGTGTCTCATACACGTACTGTGCACTGTGATCCAGAGCAGTGCCATCCCTGGATCACTGGGAGCTGTCAGAGCCAAATCCTGCCAGGATCAGGGAGGCAGAATTGCCCTTGGAATACGACAGGAACTTGGGTGTTCTCCCCTTCTTCTGCCACCCCCTAGCTAATACCAACTGACCTATTAAAATCACCAATTTTGGCTTAYTTATACCCCTAGGCCATCAGGATTTCAAAAATTCTGTGCTAGCACARAAATCTGTGTTAATTGTAAAATGGTGACAGCATCTCCTCATCACTCCAAGACTCTCATCCTTTCTCTTCTCTCCCCTTGTTGTCCCAGCCTCTGCAGCTACACAGGCTCTTTCAGAATAGGGCAGAGGTTTGTTGTTGCTGCTTGCTGTTTTTGCCATAGCTGGGTGCAGTTCTTGGAAGACAGTTTTATTAATGTTTTCTGTACCTGACCTAATTGGCTCCTTTTACTGTTTGCAAGCTAAAAAACCTCCCCACATATAAAAATAATATTTATTTGTTATTTTCTGAAAATGTGTGAAATGGAGGGAATTGAGAATGGTCTCCTGCCAACTCAGAACAGTGGCTAAAGAAATTTTTTAAAGGGTTGAGATTTCTGGATTAGGGATTTTGCACAGGGTCTGGTAATTGACTCATTGTCTCATGCTGCTGACATGCAGCAGAAGCTGATGCAAGATTTGATCCTCACTCTTGGGAGTSTCTCTTGCACTGGATTTTTGGCTGGAGAGACTGGGAAAACATCTGGGCTTGCTCTTGCCTTAGGCAGTAGGCAGAGAGGGGATATTCCAGCCTTTTACCCTTCTGCCCCACAGAGTGGGAATTTCACCTCTCCCAAGCTCAGGACTGGTCCTGCAGCCAGGCAGGTGCCAGCTGCTACCTCAGCCTGTGCTTTGGCTCTAAACCAAGCTGTGTGGGCAACTGCTGTGGTCCATCCACCCTGGCAGCAGGTCCTGCATGGCTGGAGGATCCCGGGGGAGCAGCAGCAGCTGCTCGGGGTGCGCAGTGGGCACGGCGTGTGAAGGGAGAGCACGGCAGAAGTGGAAACAGATGTGGCCTTTAAATAGAGATATTGCTGCCTTGGATTAAAGCTTCTTCCCCCCTTCTCATGAAATTAGGAATCAGAGCCAACGGAAGGTGCCAGAATCTGATTTTTTTTAAAAAAATAGTTATTTTTAGAGTAGGCGCAGCAGGGAAGCATCAGTGCTTGCCTAGCTCGGGAGTGGACTCCAGCATGGAGCAAGCAGCTTATTCCTAGTGCACATTTGCCTTWCCTTCCTTTGGACTTGTTCCCTGTCCTCCTGACCTGTAGCTGGGTCTGTCCCAGCCCTGTGACCTGCTCTGCAGCTCAGCCTTTGTGCAGAAGAGGTTAATGAAAAGCCTGTTTGTCGGCTAAACATTTGCTTTATCCTCCTTCCACTCACACTTCCAATTAAAAAAAAAAACAAACCTCACAGCAACCCAGTTTCTACTTTAAAGGCCTCACAGCCAAAGTTAAAATGTTTGTTTGCTTATTTATTTTAATTTTAAAACACTTAAAGGCTCTGCAGTAGTTATTCTCCTCAGCCTTTGCTGCAGTTTGATTACACYGCTCCCTGTTGTGTTGCTTAAATCCTCCTTGCAGTGTCCTGAATTCCAARCAGTTCAGCAGGAGCTTTGTAGGCACAGGAAATGAGGCTGGTGCTTTACTGCATTTTAAAAGTATATGGTGCAGCCTGAGAGGAAAAACCTTTCTGCTGTGCCTGTTTTTCACGGCAGGATGTGTCTGCCAAGGCCTCCTCAAATACATTTACCAGCAACAACTGGGGACTGAGAGATGGTGCCCTCATTTTTAAAGTTGATTTTGTCAAATTAGTAACCTTGGACCAAACAAAATGGTTTCTTGGGGAGCGATGGGAGGGATGGAAAGAAATAATTATCTGTGCAAATTGGCCTGACCATTTGGTGACCCTGGAAGGAAGCTGGAGACAAGGGCGCTTCCCGGTGTGCTGGAGGGAAGGGCCAGGGATACTTTTGGGGAGAAGCACAGGACAGAAGGGATCTCTGCTCAGCCCCCCTGAGTAGCTGGGCAGTGAGAGAGCCGGGGAATGTTGCCTGTAGATGTGAGTTGTGTGTCAGAATTTAATTCTCTCTCTGTGGGGAAACCACCGCAGTGATCCAGATCCTGCTGTGCAGCGTCTGAGACTGCATCAGCCCCTCTTCCTGCCTTGCTGGGTGTTTCAGGAAGCCTTTCCCACTCCTGGTGACATTTCTAGGCCTTTCTTTTGCGGGTGAGGCTCACAGTTATGTAAGCACATGCATATTCATCCAGGAGCCCACACAGGACGCGTCTCCCATTGCSAGGGCTCTGCCCATGGGGCTGTTTGGGAGCACTCGGTCACGGGCTCCAGCTCTGGATGCTTATCTCAACCAGCTGGATCTGGAAGTAAAACTAGATTTTGGTTCAGACCAGACTGGGCTCAGCGTGCCCTTGTTTCCCAGCTGGGAGTATTTTTAGCAGTGAAATGCTCGTAGTGCTGAGGCTCCGTGGCTGCAGGCAGGGCTTGTCCTGTGTGYGTGGGGAACTTGTCCTCGAGACTTCTTGGCTTTTGGGGGCTGCTGGAACTGGTGCAGTGATTAAATATGAGTGTAGTGACTTACTGTAGGGCCAGGCTCCTGGAGGAGGGAGATCTCTGTTATCGGGAGTAATTGTTGTGGCTGATTTCATGAATAATGTCCAGTGCAAATGTCAGCAGGCTCATTAAGTTTCCTGGCTGCCTTCCAGCCCTCATGTCCAGGAGGTGTATGATTGTTCTGGACATGCACTCAGCTCTGGGAGTGATACAGCACATCTAGATGTGAGGCTGCTTGTTAACATGCATGGTCAGCTCAGCTCCTTGCTGCAGTGCTGCCTGTGCCCTGTGCAGGCACAGCTTTTCCATTTGTTCCATAGAGATCTTGCACCCCCTTCCTTCGATGCTCTAAAATCACCGTGCTGCTGATTTTGGGTGGGTGACTGTGCAAGGCAGTTCTCTCTTCCCYGTGTGACTGTATTTTATCTGTGCAGGTCTTTGAAGCAGTTATCTCTTGGATAAATTATGAGAAGGAATCCCGCCTGGAGCACATGGCTAAGCTGATGGAGCACGTTCGCCTGCCCCTTCTGCCCAGAGATTACCTGGTACAGGTAATGCAAATAAGTCATTAATAGTTGCACTTAAGCTGCTGGTTGCCCCTTAATCAGTGGCTTGGTGTTTGTGTCTGAGATGGGTAATTTGGTCTGTTGCTGAGTCAGTGAACAGAGGAATAAAAGCAAAAACTGGTTGAACTCTGCAATCAGTGTGTGCTTCACAACCTTCTTGTAAGTGGGACCCATGCCCTGCCAGGCAATGCTGAGAGCAGAGCTCCTGCCCCTCTAGGGGAAGCACTGAGAAGTTAATCTCTTGTGAGTTTTCACCCTGAAAATACCAAGGTGGTGGTATTAAAAGCTTGTGCAGCTCTTTTCTCTCACGCACAGGTAAAACACCATGATGGAAACACATCATGTGTGATAATTTAGGTTTAAGATGTGCAGTGTGCATATGGGTCTGTGTGACTGGCAGGGGAGACACTCTCTGACTCAGTCTGACTTGCAGATTGTTCTTCATAAATTAATTCCTGGGATCTGGGCCTAGATAATGAGCTGAGAATTCCCAAAGAAGGGAATATGGGCATATGGGCTCTTTGACTACTTCGCTTTTATCATGTGTCTAAAAAAATCAATGCAATTGGTATAAAATTGGTATTCACAAGATGAACTCATCATGTTTTTTTTTTTTTTTGTTTTTTCTTTTTTCTTTCATCTGTATCTTCTGATGGGATAAAAGATACTGCCTCTCCTTAAAAATTCTGGCTCAGATAAAGGAAATCACTTACTTTGTATCCAGACTCATGGTGAATTCTCCTCTGCTGAATCAAGTGTTTGRCAGAGGGTGCTAAAATAGGAAAAAAATGAGAAGCTTAGATGTTACTGCCTGKGTTTCTTTGGGAAGAGCTGGAAGTCTGTGTTTGTCTCCTGCATTTATTTGAAATGTTGGTGCTTTGGAAGGGAAATTCCAGGTTACAWGTTCTTTCCACAAAGCTCCTTGTGACCTTGTGCCATTGTAAATGATTTTTGTTGTGTGTTCATGTTCTCAGACAGTCGAAGAAGAAGCTTTAATCAAGAATAACAACACCTGTAAAGACTTCCTTATCGAGGCCATGAAATACCATTTGCTTCCTCTGGATCAAAGGCAACTGATAAAGAATCCCAGGACTAAGCCAAGGACTCCCGTTAGCTTGCCAAAGGTAAGCCAAGCTCGTCACTTCGTGTCACCCACCCCYCGTTCCTGGTGGCATTTTCAGTCTTTGACAGGAGCTGGAGAATTTGCCGTGTTTGCACCAGCTCCACGATCTTACTTTGCAGTGTTTTACTCCCTCTTCTGGCATTGCCTRTGCCCAGCAAGGATACATAATTAAGCTGGATAAACCTAGATAAACCCTCAGAGGAAGGAGTATCTGTGCTCGTGAATAATTTTATCAGCCACAAGTGTTTTTGTGGCTTGCAGGCGGCTGCTGGGGTGCTGGAGGGCTGGCTGAGGGTGCTGCTGGCTGGYAGGAGTGTCCTGCTGAGGAGGGTCACAGTAGGTGTCTTTTGGTTTCCTGATCCATGATCAGGAGCCAGGAAAGCAGGAAACAGCAGCACCCAGCCCCGTGGGCAGGAAGTCTGAAGCGAATTTCAATAGACTCAAAGCAGCAACTGAATAAATAATCCTTGTTACTCCCCATGCTTATCCTGCMGACGTGTGGTGCTCCAGCCACCACTTCATTAGGGAGGAAAAATATTTCCACAGAAAMTACAGTCCCTGTGCCCCAGAGATAAACAAAGTTTGGCACAGTGTCTGTTAGCACACTGTCACTGGAGTTGTTAGTAAGCATTTGGGGATTCTCAGACATCAAAACCACAGTTTGTTGTTTTTCCAAGCACAAATGATACCGAGGTTGCTTTGTGGGGTGGTGTGTGAGATCTGTGCTGTTTCTGGTGTTTGGATACTGGGCTGTGCATTGACAAATGGTGGTTTTGCAGCCTGTGGCAGCATGTGTCAGTGTCCTTTCTGCCTGCTGGTGCTGAGATGAAGTCGGTAGAGCACGGCTTTGGCGGTATCATGAAGGGCTGACATGGCCCTTGCTTGAGGACTAAAGTCGTTAAGGATAAAAGGAGCAGCAAATCAGTGAGTTCAGAGGTTCTCAACATCTTTTATAGCATGACCTATGAGTACAAACCCAAATCTTCTGCAGGTCTCTCTTCYCTTCTTTTGAACTGTGAAGAAAGGGAAGGAGGTGATGATCTTTCAGCAATCCTGTTACTGAGAAACTTTCATCTGGCCTGTTGGTCYCGCTGATGAGGGATTATTGTCTGCTGGGAAATCCCTTAATTCTGTAATCGTGTGAAGCCCTGCAGCTTGCCAMGGGAGACTGTTACACAACTAATAGTCAGGATGTTAATTTAGACTCAGTTTGGTATCTAATATCACATTCTTGTCTTTRTAGCTCAAACAGGCCACTATTTCCATGCTCTTCAAGTTCTTTAAGTTGCTGTCTAGTGCTCTGCTTTTAAAGCARCCCTGCTTGGAGTAGAGTTTGTTGCCCGAGTGACCTCGAGTACGATGTTATCCTCTCAGCTACTCCACGCTGCCTTGCAGAGGCTAAAGCCAGTTTTCCATCTACTCCTTGTCTATATTTGAATCCCCACTATCTTGTTTCCAACTCCTTGKCCTTGTAAAAGTCAGATTCTTTTGGGTAATGTTTGTCCTGCCCATTTGCTGTGATAAGGGGAGCAAATCCTTTTGATGGCTGTGGAGGGCTCAATGGAATGTGTGCAGGACAAAGTGCAGGTCCAGCTGCTTGTCAGTGCAGGTGTTTTGGGGGCTGGCCAGCTGTTGGTTTGCAGTGCCCAGCAGGGGCTCAGAGCAAGGGGCACCCTCGGGTGCAGAGCTCCTGGCACCCTGATCCTTGGGCTTTTTGCCTTCTGGCAGCAGGCAGGGCAGATTTGGGAAGGACCTGCATGCTGCCCRGCTCTTCTGGTCTTCTCACTGTCCCTTCCACCAGTGTCCATCCCTTGCTTTTGCTGGGAGTGGAGTCTGGGGCTGGATGAACCCTTAGCCTGACCTGGCAGAGCAGTCCCTGTGCTCCTGAGATTGCCCCAATCACCTTCACATAGCTCTTCCCTACCTGTAAGGAATTTAGGGTTTCATTCCTGCATTTCCTTCAGTCCCTGTGGCAGCCAAAARCCTTAGTGAAGATGATAAATCACAYCCTTCAGCAGCCCAGCCYCCCCAGTCATGGCAGTTGTGGTGACCTCCCTGCGTGTCGCCGTCCCCACAGGTGGCACCGCAGCTGTCACGTTTTATTTGCTGAGTGGCATTGATTATTTTTAGCACCACCATGGAGATAATGACTAAACAGTGAGCCACCAGTGGAAATTATGCTGGAATCTTCTTCGCTTAAAAATACTTTTGCAGTGAGTCTTGTGTATGCCACGGTGCCAAAAAGGTGTTGTATTTCAAGGGGAAATTGGGCAAGTTGCCCACCTTGGATGCTGAGGGAGGGTAAATGGGGTGGCCATATTTAGCATGCATTAAATTAGAGATAAATTTTTCCCCCTTGAAATATAATTGCCTGAAATAAGTGACCCTGCAGAGGCTTCTGGCTGGCCTGCAGCACATGTTTTGGCAGCTGCTCTTGGCCAGGTCGTGGTGATGTTTCTCTGCAGAGAGCAGCTGCCCAGGGTCATGTCTGAGGTTTTCCAGCTCTTCTCTTGCCTCTGCAGGTGATGATTGTGGTGGGTGGCCAAGCACCCAAAGCCATTCGCAGCGTGGAGTGCTATGATTTTGAGGAGGAGCGCTGGGATCAGGTTGCTGAGCTTCCCTCACGGAGATGCAGAGCAGGTAACGACAAATTTTGCTGCAACCTTCTTTGTTTTCCTAACAACATTTCAGCATGGATGGGTGCCCTCCATCATCCCTTCAGCCTTCCTCTGTGCCCYTGGCCTCAAGCAGCTTTCTTTTTGCCATTCTTTCCTCTTCTTWCCTGCAGACATCTTTCCATTCTCAATCTGGTGGATGTCCTGCTCTCCCGTGGGGTTTCTCCTGCCTGTCAGCCCTCCATAGCCACTGCCCCTCATCATCTCCCTCTCCTGGCTGTTCCTCCATCAGTGTTTCCCTTCCTCATCCCCCGTGCTTGGCAGCCCACAGGGGTCCAGCTTTTCTTGCTGCTTTCCTYGTGCAAATCAAAGGAGCTGAGTCAGTCCCTCTTGGTGCCGAGGAGTGRGTGACTGAGAGCAGATCTTTAAGTTGGGAATGTTCCTCTGAAAACATCTGACAGGGCTGTGAACGTGGCTCACCATTTGGTGTTCCCTCTGGCTCCCAGAATTACTCACTCAGGTGTGAACTCCATCTGTGCCTTGTATGTGCATTTCACCTCCCATGTGACACAAACATTTCATCACGCAAATGAAAACCCAAAACACCAAAACCTTGCCCGCGCTCTGCTCCTCCCGGCTGCCTTTCTCTCCCTGCCGGGCGAGCAGCATCTATCTGGAGACAAACCCTCCCAAACTCTTGTCCAAGCTGTAAAATGCTCTGCTGTTTGCCCAGGTGTGGTGTTCATGGCCGGCAATGTTTACGCCGTGGGGGGCTTTAACGGGTCKCTGCGGGTGCGGACGGTGGACGTGTACGACGGCGTCAAGGACCAGTGGACGTCCATCGCCAGCATGCAGGAGAGGCGCAGCACGCTGGGCGCCGCCGTGCTCAACGACCTCCTCTACGCCGTGGGAGGCTTCGATGGCAGCACTGGTAGGTGACCCAGCAAAAAACAGCCTGAAAAAAAAGCCCTGCGGAGATTGCAGAGCTTCAGAGAGGTTCTTTTCTGTAGAGAAAAGAGGCGGAAATGGGTTTGGTGCGTGTTCTAACTACCCACATGCACGTTCTGACCCGTCAGTAATTGCAGAGAATCTCACTCTTGTTATTTTCTTCAGTGATTCACTTCTTTCGGCCTCATTCTCTGTATGATTGTGCCTTTTCTGGGCTGAAAAGGGATTTTTCCTTGTTTCAGTTAAATTTTTCATGGCAGCATGAATAAATTACTAGCAAGGCATCTTACAGGGTGTGTGTGCCTGGGATTTATCTTGGCATAGCAGAGTGTTTAGATTCACACCTCTGCCTCTGCTGTAAAGCTTTGCCACTTGGTTAAGCCCTGAACTAACTATTGCAGCAGGGTCTGGGGGAGTTTTTAAACCTTTGCATGGGCATTTTGTAATTTTTGAAAGGACCTGGGGCTCTCGGGCTTGGAATTTGGACTCTGCTCACCTTGGTGGCCTCAGTACATCAGAGGCAGCAGTCCCAKGGTAGGGGTGATGGGGTAACAGTTTTTCCAGCTGCTGAAGAAGTGGCACTGGCATGCTGGTCCTAGCCTGAAAGTCAAGGGATTAGGAAATGGGATTGCAGGAGCATGGTGGGAATTATGGGCTTGGGAGGAGGTGGAAGCCAGATGAAAGTGCAACACCAATCTTTTTTTCTTCTCTTTTTTTTTAATTAGAAAACCTGTGTATCCCCTTTTTAACTAGGTCTGGCATCAGTTGAGGCCTATAGCTATAAAACCAATGAGTGGTTTTTTGTGGCTCCCATGAACACAAGAAGAAGCAGTGTTGGAGTTGGAGTTGTGGAGGGTAAGAAAACCAGCAGCCATTTCCATCAAGCAAATGTTACTGTGCCARACAGAAGCCTGAATGGTTAAGTGTTAAGTGCAGTAGGAGGGAATGGCAAGAACTGTTCCCTAGACCCGTTGGGAAAGATTGATTTTAMGTGACATAATTGCTGCAACTTTTTCCATTCTCCCCTTTATCTTGGTGAAAAATCACRTGTAGCTTTCCAAGAGCCTCTAAGCTGTGTCAGAGCACCCATGCCTCCTGTGAATGCAACGAGGTGTGTGCAGGTTTCTTTGAGCTCTAGTTCTCTCTGGGCTGTGGTGCTGTGGGTGCAGACACTGCGTGGATGGAATACCCGTCACGGAAAAGCTGCTCAGCCACACAAACAGGAACAGAGCTCGTCCCACAGCCCCAAGCTGGTGGTTTGGCAGGAATACTAAAGCTGTGTTTATTGACATCAGGCACAGCACGCTCTGCTGTGGTTCCTCAGTGAGCAGGGGCTGACAGTAGCGAAGGCTGGAGAGGGAGGATGGGGCAGCTGCTGGCACCTCTGTTCAGCACCAGGCTTGAGGGAGCTGGAGCTGAGCAGCTTGGTTTGATTCAGGACAATGGAAAGTTTGAGAAGGAACAATTTCTTCCTTCACAAAATCTATTCTGAAGCAAGTGAAAGGCTTTATTTGAACTTGCCTTTAGTGTGGCATAGCACTTTCCAATTAGTGCAGAGCAGCTTTGGCATAARCCTTGTTATAAACCTTATAAATAAACCATGCTTTAGAGTGCTTTGGATTGACCTGTTTGAGTGTGAAACACAGGGAATATCTGTGGAATATGTTAATGTGCRTGAAATGTGTTTGTGTGAGAAGAGGAAGGGGGATAAAGTCAGAATAAACAGTGGCCATTAACTTAAATTTGCATRTTGAAGAAGCACCTCCTTCAAAACTGGCCCATGCTTGGGAATTTCTGGGCTGCTGTCAATCATTGGAATTTGCTCAAGTGGCTTGAATGCAGAATAAATACTAAATATGGACCTGAGGGGTGCATTTCTATGTACAGATTTTCTAGTGGAGACTCAAGAAATCCTTTTCCTTTGCTTTGTTTGAAAGCACAAATAAGCGTTGTAAATGTGGGAGTCCATGATAAAAATAATGAGGGGCACAAGAGCTGATCACACTAGTGTAGAGAAGAAGCTGCAGCCTGCAGTTAATCCACAGGGTTCATGTGAATGTGACAAAAATCAATCTGATGTCTGTGAATACTGAAAATACCTAATAATTGGTGCCAGCCAGGGAAATTGATCTTGTCCTGCTTGGACTGGCACTTTTGCCTGATTCATTGACAAATTCCAGGCAGGACCAACAGCACAAATAAGAGTTTAAAATGTTCACAGAGACAGGAAGATGCAGAAGGAGGCCATGAGTGGGCCTGAGGGAGAAAGAAAAGAGCCAGCCTGTTCYTGGAGCCTTGCAAACATCCAAAACAGGCGGATGCAAAGCCTAAGGCTGAGGATAGCTGCTGGTGGGAGTCTTGTGCATGCAAAGAATTGCACAGCTCATTCATGGCCAGGCTSTGCTGTTRTGGRGTGAGARCTGATTTTATTTCTGGSTTTTGTACAAAAMTTCAGMTTAGATTTTTTCTATGTATTTGTTRGGCTTTATTAGTGATTGTYTRTTGTAGCATCCAGGAGACCTGGACTTGAACCAGAATCCTTGTGCTGGCTGCTTTAGTAAGAATAGTCACTCTGCCCAGAGAATTTACTGCCTAAATGCAAAATAAGCTGATAGATGAGACAGGGAGACAAGGGGAGGGGATCAGTCAGCCTGGGAGCAGAGGACAGGGCAGAGTCAGCCTTGTTCCATGAATGATGCAGYGCTGTGATATCTGACTGTGCTCCTCTGGTCTCAGTGTGTTGATCAGCTGTSTCTGAGTTGGGGTAGGGAGGGTCTGACACCCTCATGGGGCATGTCCTGTGCTGTGCTCACTGGGCAGGAGTGACCAGTAGCCTCAGCTGTGCTCGCACCGTTGCTGGGTTTTGGTGGGGACCAAGCTCTTCAAAACCAGGTCTAGGTTTCCTTGCAGGTATTTTATTATTATAARAGGCTATTTCATATTTATTACTCATGTGCTGCTGCAATTAATGTGCAATGTTGGCCTCAGCTGAGTGGGGGTACACCCTCCATCAGCAGAACACACTTTGATACTCTCTATTCAACAAATAATTTGGAAACCCCTGTGGGCTGCTGACTTGTGATGAAGCTCTGTTGCCTCCCCGTGCTAGCTGGCAGTTTAACAGCTTTGAGATCCCCTGGCTGTGCTTTCCCCGGCCATCCCAGCAGGTTCAGGTGTGTCCCTGGGGCAGGATCCCCTCTCCCTGGGGCTGTGGGGTAACTCCAGCTGTGTCTGTGTTTTGCAGGGAAGCTCTATGCCGTGGGTGGCTATGACGGCGCGTCACGGCAGTGCCTGAGCACGGTGGAGCAGTACAACCCCGCCACCAACGAGTGGACCTACGTGGCCGACATGAGCACGCGGCGCAGCGGGGCAGGTACGGGCTCCCAGCGTGGCCACTGCCTTCTCCTCTGCTCCCAGGCAGCAAGGAAAGGTGGCATTTGGCACTGCTGGGCAAGTGCAAGCTCTTGTTTGCCCCCCTTTCCTGGGAGGGTAAAAATGTAAGTGCTTGGGAGTCTCAGCAAATTTTGTGACTTTGAGGAAATCTGCCRAATTGAGGTTAATTTCTGGATGAATGAAATAATGTGCGGTGTCTGTAAGTAKCCCTGCTAGCAGATGTGTCTCACTTGTAAGCAAAGAGTTCTCTTTCCAAATCGCCAGCTGCAGACACAGCTGGGCACGGACAAGCCGAGCTGCACCTCCCTCTCCCTCATCATTGTGGGGTTTCAGGGGGTTTTKCACTTTGGATCTTCCAGCAAGCATCCAGTGGGTGCTTTGCAACACAAACCACATCCGCATGTTGGGTGATGTGCAAGACTACAAATCTATCTCAGATTGCCCGGGCTAAGCTAGTTCCTGTTTTTTTGTTTTTTTTTTGTTGGCAAGAGTTGGTGATCTGGAGGATTAGAGGAAAGGACCTGTTGTAAAAGGATTAGGCTCTAGTCTTGATGGTTTCTAATTTCCTACATAATCTAATGGAGCCTAATCTTAGGCCAGGTTTGCCTTCTCTGTGACTGTTCCTCTCTGAAAGGGATAAGAGCTCTTACCCATTGCATTTAAAATCATCTTYAGGTGAATGGGAATTTGTCACTGTTGGTGTGCTCAGCGTGTCCTGTGGGTCCTCCCTGATGTTGTGCTGTTACCCACAGGCAGCCAAGCCTGGGGGCTGCTCTTTGGGGCTAAAATGACAGGTTAAGCTGAGGTGGGAGTTTCCTTTGGATCTGGGCAGTCTGAGAGGCTGCTCTCTACACCCTGTCTTTCTTTCCTCACTCCAGTGCCTCTTCTGTAGCTCCAGGTGAGGCAAATATGGGCACACTTGGTTTGAGTTCTGTTGAAGCAGTTTGAGGTGTCTGTTTGGTGCTCACCCCAGCCCAGTGCAGCCTTCCAGGAGAGCAGGATGGGTSTCTGCTGTTGCTGGCAGTGTGCTGAGCAGTCAGAAGTGTGTGTCTGCAGCAAGAATTGTGTGTCTGCAGTGAGCTGGGCTTTAGTGAGCTCTGTTGGAAGCTCTCTGCTCTGCTCTCAGTGCGGCGTTCGAGGGTTTCTCATGCAGCAAATCCTTTGTTAGGAAAGCCCACGCTCTCCTGCCACACTGCTTTGCAGTTTTCTGTTCCCCACCTGAAAGCTGAGCTCCTCAGGCTCTGCTGGTCCCCCAGATGTCCCTGGGAGGGCAYTGTCCAGTGCCTCGGGCCAGCAGTGGTGCTGCAGCACGATCTGCTGCACAGCTCCACAAGTGACAGCGTCCCTGTGCTGACATCTAGTGGGGTGAGGACAGCTGTCCCCAAGTTCCTGGGGCCACCCTAATCCAGGCAGTGGGGATGTGGGGAGGTGCAGGTGCTGCCCAGGTTTTGTATAATCAAAAATTCTTTTAGATTGGAAAAGATCTTTAAGGTCATCAAGTCCAGCCATTAACCCATCACTGCCATACTCAATGCTAAAACAYRTCCCCAAGTGCCACATCTGCACATTTTTTGAGCACTTTGAGGGTTTGCTGGAGCAGCTGAGGGGTTCCCTTCCCTTCCTGTCAGGGATGTCATGTCYCTGTGTCCCCTGTCTCTCTGCATGAGGAGGCAGTTTTATGTGAAAAAGCTTGAGAGTGTTTCTGACTCTTTTACTCTCTTATTGTTTAAATTAGTCTAATAATTAAATYATTTCTTAAAAATATAAAATTTTTGTTAATAGCTGAACATAGCCAAATGCCAAAGTGCTGCACACCCAGGCTGCTGGGCTCAGATGAGTTAAGGGACTTTCCATTTCCCAGAGACCTGGGAGACACCTGGTACAGCTCAGGAGCCAGGATGCGCACTGGGACTGTTCTGCTGCTCCCAAATCATTGGAGTACTTCAGCCAGAGCAAGGATGGCCCATCAGGGTGGATRTTTATGGCAATTAGAGATTAACTGTATGTTTGCCAGAGGTGAGCCATGAATCCCAGTACCATATTAGGATTTCAGCCCCTCTTGTACAGTGAGAGGTGGCTGGTCAGAACCAAACCCAGCAATAGGAAGCTAAGATGATCTGGAGAGGGGACAGGTGACAGTGGTAGACCTGTGGCAGTGTGCCTGTCCCCAAATTGGGGTGTTTGTGATGGAGCTGCCGAGCCTGGGTGGTGCCTGTTCTCTCAGCAGCTGTTCCTGTCCCTTCTCCAACAGGAAAGATCCTTGCACAGGGAAAAGGTTGAAAACCTGTTGGTGTCAGGCTGKYAGGGCCCCTCTCCTCCCTGCACACYGRTGCCCRTGGTTGAAATGATATGATTGAGCTCTGTTTCTGTTTTACTAACATCCCATCTTGTTAATTTTAATAGAGGCCTTTGAACKTATTAACGAAGATATGTTGCTGGAAGTTTTAACTCTCATGGATTGGTGAACATTTTAATTAATTAATTTGCCTAATATTAGGCAGAAGTAGCCYTCAGATCCCTGTCATTCCCAGAGATTCAGGCAGGGCCCTTCAAAAGTGCCTGAGAAGGTGGCATTGGAGGTACCTTGTCTGTACCGAGTGCTGTTGGGTTTTGGGGGTGGGAGTGGGAGTGGCAGCTTCAAGAACTGGAGCTGTAAGTTGTTGAGGAGAGAAAGATCACCCAAGGGATGAAGTCCTGTGGCTCAAAGGCAGCAGGAAAAATAATAATAAAAAAAAAAAGTATTGAAATTGGGTATCGGACTGAAAACAAAGAGTCCCATGGCAGAAAAGATCAAGCAGATGGAAACAAGGTGGGGTGGGGGGCAGAGTGCAAGTCAGTGCAAAGAGATGGAATAAAGGCAGAGGAATGTCATGGGACTGTTGTGCTGATCGTGGATGGCCTGAGAGCTCCTTCAGGGGGGGACATGTGCCAGCCAGAGGGGACATGTGCCAGCCAGAGGGGGCATGTGCCAGCCAGAGGGGACATGTGCCAACCCTTCCTGCGCAGGCTGCTGCAGTGCCATGGGTGGGTGGGTGCAGAGCCTGCTGATGTTGGTGCAGACGTGGCCCATGGTTCTGGAGGTGGCTTGGACAGGCTGAGGCCATGCCCTGCAGCAGCAGCAGGGCCCTGCAGCCCTGTCCCTGTCCCTGTCCCCTGTCCCTGARGCTGGCTGTGCTCTGCAGGTGTTGGTGTGCTCAGTGGGCTGCTCTACGCCACCGGTGGCCACGACGGGCCCTTGGTGAGGAAGAGTGTGGAAGTCTATGACCCGGGGACAAACACCTGGAAACAAGTGGCAGACATGAATATGTGTAGAAGGAATGCAGGTAACTGTGATAAACCTTTCTGTGGGGCTTGGCTCAGTTGTGTGTGTGTGGTTTTTGATGCAGTTCGTGTGCTTTGGGGGGTGTGTGATCAGTGTTGTGAGTGATAAAAATGGGAGGTGAGGGATCTGCTTGGGAGTGAATTGGAATGTGGCAGCAGCGTGTTGTGGGGGATGAGTTAGCCYGTGTCTCACCATCTGTGCTCTGCTTTAGGGGTGTGTGCTGTGAATGGGCTCCTCTACGTGGTGGGAGGTGATGATGGCTCCTGCAATTTGGCCTCGGTGGAATACTACAACCCCAGCACAGACAAGTGGACGTTGTTGCCAACCAGCATGAGCACAGGGAGGAGTTATGCAGGTAAACAGGCAGGCGAGGGCGGGCAGCAGCGGGGTCATCCATAAACTGGAGGGCTGTGCCTCTTGAAGCTTTAATCTTACTTTTTTGTATGCTTTATGTTGATTTCATTAGAAGAAACTTTCACAGAAATGATAGACACCTCCCTCATTGCTGGCTTCTGGCTTTGCAGGATGATTGTAGCCACATGGCAACCCAGGAGCTGCTCCTGGGCACTGACTGTGTCTGTCTGTCCTTACAACAGGTGTGGCCGTGATTCACAAACCCTTGTGACACACGATCAAGCCAGTGTGAGGAGCAGAAGTGTGAAGTGGATCCAGCTAGGTGGTGTTGGGAAGATGACTGACCTCTGACTTGACCCATCTCATTGCTGTTCATGTCTTAGCATGACAAGTGACGCGYTGCGAGCATCGTCYGCTCCGCAGTGGATTGCGTGGCCAMGTGAAAGTCCCTCTGGGGATGTTCCATGCTAGACACGAGGTGTTGCTTGTTGTCTGTGGTGCAATCAGCTGTTCTTCTCGATGGCATGTGTCCTGAGATAAACACCGTGCTCGGACTGCAGGCACGGAATTTCTTGTGTGAAACAAAACTTGCTACGTTCGGGCATGTGAGTAACGACGAACGCTTCTGGATTTCTTCCCCACTGATGCTCCGTGCACATTGTTGGTTGAACTCCTTACTCACTGTGCCTGGAGGGTGGACTTTTATACTGGCAGTGGAAACTTCTGAGTCCCAAYGGTGAAAAACAGCAGAAATGGACTGGAACAGGGTGGTCTGGCTCGACGCTGTCTCAGTCATACGTTTGTAAATGCCACTGGACTGCTGTGTGTACCCCTGAAATGCTTGTGGAAATAAACACCGTGTGGTTTTTCTACTTGCCATGAATGCTGTGTGCTGTGCGTGACGGGACCTGCTGGGCAGTGCCTTCCCCGGGGCTGAACTCAGCACTGAGCCACACAAAACTCCACAGCCCCACCAAACACATGCTGCTCCCACGGGGCTTATTGCTCCTGTGAAACAAATGTTGCTTGAATAGAAAATGTTCCCAACCCACACGTTTCAGCTGTGCTGAAAGCTTCCGTTCTAGCTCTGTCCAGCATCTCAATGCCATTTCATAATAGAGCTTTTAGATGTTCCAAAATACCTTATGGTGCCATTAATGTACAGACATTCCATACAGCGAGAACCCTCTGTCACCCAAGCAGGGATTAATGAGCCAAGTAAAATACCTGCAGTGTTTTAATGCTTCCAGAGCATGGAGATTAACTGATCACTGTCACTGTAATTGCTATTTTAGTCTTGCTCTTACTAAAAGCATTCCTTTGTTAGTATGAAGAACTCATAAGATTATTCAAAACAGACAAATCTAGATCCAGCTGTAAGGGACCTGTCTTGCTTGTATACCAAATTCCTAAAGTTTTCTGTTTAAGATGTTTGACTTTAAAATACCTTTTTATGTCTCCCTGTGAGCTCTGACATGCTTCTGCATACAGAGGTGTGCTCCCTGAAGCTCCCCAGCTAAAGGGAACTAGCAAAGAAAAATATTTTCTCTACTCTTTTTTTTCTTGTTTATTTTCTWGTTTTTTCCCTGCAGATCAGCTGAGGCCTTTCGTTGAGGGCAGCTGGCCAGTGTTGTTGTGGTTTCTGTCTCCACAGATCTGCTCTGGGTGACCTTCGACWGCAGAAAAGAAAAATACTTAAAAATTTATTTCTGAGGGATCTAAGCTACATCGTCTTGTGCAGCTTTTGTAGAGGAGTGGGTTTCTTCTGTGAAAATGTACTCATTGGTTTTTGAGTTGAGAGAGTCCTTGTAAGGTGGGTGCCTGTTCACTGTGGGGGAAGCAGCCCCTTCCTGTGTTGTGTCACCCCCCTGCAAGGGGCTGCCCTTCATGGGGACTGTGACACAGCTCCCACTCCTCTTTGGATGTTCTTCATTTCACAAACAAGGGCAAACTCTCTAAAGAAAAGGCATTACTATCCTTTATGTCTACCCTTCCATTGTAGGTCAGCTCGGAGKTCTTGAAAATAGCAATTAAAACAAGAAATATCCTTTTCCCTGATGCCCTTAAAACCTTTTATATTTTACAATCTGCAGCGAAACTTGCCAAAATTACAGTGTGACATGCTGCTCTCCTCTGGTGTAAAAKCCATCGAGGCTGGTAGGGATGTACCCTAGCAGGGATGTATCCTGGTAGGGATGTTTCCCTGCCTAGAGATCTTCAGCTGCCTTCAGATCAGTCCTGAGATGCACCTTGATGGTGGCCTTAGGAAGGTGATGAGGCCTCAGCTGGAATGGACTCAAATTCTCTGGCCCAAAAAGTGGTTCCCTTCCATGCAGCCTGGGAGTAAAGGATTGAATGGGACAGACAAAGTGTTGTGGTCTGAGGTCGCATCTCTTGTCAGGCTGAGGTGACTGGACAAGCGTTTGGGCACACTTGGCCCTTGTTAGGTCTGGTATGGACAAAAAGCTGAATAAACTACTGTATAAGCTACTGTACAGCCCAGCTGCAGTTCAACAGTTGGCAACACCTCCCAGCCAACATTCTCACACCTCTGGCTTCACTGGAGCAAAGCAAATATTATCCAGAGATATGAGTTTATGTGGGCTGGAGATAACCTTTGGAAGGTACTGCTAGAGAGGTGCAAGGTTGCAGTTTGCTGTGTTTGTTAGTTGTGGCAAAGGCTATACCTGGGGATAGAATAATTTTATCCCCTGCTTTCCATCTGTTCTTAAGCCTGCCTTGCTYATAAGGCAAACAGGTTTTGGTGGTTTTCTGCTCTGGTAAAATGGCATTTCTGCCCAGTGCTGGCCCAGACCCGTGGCTTGCTGGACAGGGCTAGGACTCAGCCCTTGCCAGGGATGAGTGATGCTGTTCCCAGCTCTCCTCGATGGCAAATGCCACATTTCTTTCCTTCCTTCCTTCCTTTTTTCCTTCCTTCCCCAACGTTGCAGTGTTATGCAAGTCAAGTGACCTCGTTTTCCAGCTATGCAATACCAACAACCGATACATGTGATGAACCAGCTGTACCCCCCACCCCCAAAAATGCTTTTGGAATTTGTCCTTGGCGTGTGATTTTGTGTTTGTATTGTTCATTCTGAGCACCTGAGCCAGATCCTTTACAGATTGCCTTTTTCTAGGACTGAAAACGTAGCATTAGCACTAACAAATTTTAATGTAAATATTTTTATAAGATAATTTTAAATAACTTTTGGATTGCTTTTTATGGTCGTCAATGACATTTCTGTTAAATTCTGGATCTAATTCAGTGCACTCCAGTGTGGTTTTTGCTGGCTGTGGTGTAGGTGTGACTCTGTGTTCTCTGCAGAAGAAATGCCATGTTGTGAGGAAGATCTGGGATAGCTCTTGTGTTGGTTCTGATGTTGGAAGGACAGCCTTGGGCTCCACATTATGAGATAAATTCAAACCACTCAGTCACCAGTAGGCTCTTAGATTTTTACTTATTTTACAGTGGTTTCAATACCCTGATTTAATTTTCTTGTGCCGTGGGTTTGTTTCCTGGGCAGTTTGGGGAACAAGCTGTCACTTGGTGGTTCTGTTTCTTGGCTCCTGCATGAGCTGCTTGCAGACAGAGATACTCTGCCCACAACAGTCTGGACACACCCCCCCAGGCTGCCAAAACCACAGAGATGATTGCAGGAGTTTTAGTTAAAGCTTTACAGACAGAACTCGGGTCTCTTCCTTGGTCGTTTGTGAATATGAACACTTTCCTCAGCTCCTTCTGTTGCCATCTCTTTTTGGGGTCTCCCTGTGGGGTTCTGGCTGTGGGTTTCCCAAAGGGGGTTTTKCTCTYRYAGARAAGCCCCCCAGGCTRTGCCCCCCRYCCCAACAGCRTCAGGTGTGGTGCACACCCCGCTGGGCTGGCAAAGCAGGGTAGATTTGCCTCGAGCAATCTGTTGTTTAAAAAAGTTTGAATAAAGTCCTTCTTTTCCACTGGTGCCTAATAGATAAATTGGGGGTGATTAAAATCTCTTCCCAGTCATTCAGTTTATCCAAACAATGTCTTTTTTATCTGTACAATGAGTAATTACCATGAGCACGCTTGGCAGCATTGGTGTGTCAGCACCGTGACAGCTCAGTCCTGTTCTTGGTTTGCATTGTTTGGACACCAAAATCCTTAACCCAGAGGGGTGTGATGCCTGTTCATCCAGCCAGCATGATGGTTCAACAGATAAATGCTGTTCATCCAGCCAGCATGATGGTTCAACAGATAAATGCTGTTCATCCAGCCAGCATGATGGTTCAACAGATAAATGCTGATCATCAAGCTAATGTGATGGTTCAAATGCAGCTCAGTCTTAACCTTTGGGATTCATTATTGATTTATTGCCAAAGCAGTTGCCTCCTTTGCCCACCTCGTGCCCACAAATCACTTTCACTCGAGCATAATTTGTTGCTCAAAGCTGCAGGGTTTGGGAGTGTGCTAGACATTATAGAATATAGGCTCTTTCACTTTTTTTCATCTGTCCTTATCTTTGTTTATGGGTTTATAAATTATTTTCCTCTACAGTGACAATAAATAGATAAACARATAAATATTGAWAATTTTAATTTGTATATTTTATGTAAAAAAATACCCTTAAGGGTAATGAATGATTGTGAAATAATTTACCTGGATGTRAAATTTTTTGGTTTTGTAAACCAGACTTTGTTGGTTCAGTAGCTGACAGTATACTGTAACAAGTTGGTTGACTGTTTAAGCTTGTTTTTTAAATTAAAGATTTATTTTTTGCATGAGTGTGGAGGACAAAGGACTTTGCAAAGTAATTCTCTTGACAGCTGTCTTGTCCAGTGCGATGAATGACTCAAGAAACATTCTTCACTGACATATTTATATGAAAGAAAATCACACTGTAGTTCCCYATCATTTAATTTGAATAAAAACTGGACTAATTAAACTTTTCTGGGTCTGTTTTSATTTAATTGGCTTCTGACAATGGGGAACAATCTCATCACTCCACCTGCCTTTGTCTGTCCCCTCTTTAACCACAGCAGGTGCCATCCCTGGGGTTCTTTGCCCCTTGGTGAGGGGCAGTGGCACTCTCATGCTGATGCTGAGATTCTGTCCAAGCTCTGCTGCTGTCCCTGGCTCTGCTCTGTTCCTTTGCCAAGGGAGGTTCARGCATTTCTCTTGGGGTGGGAAAGCCCTTGGTTCAGGGCATCGATGGCAGAAGACAGAACCTTTGAGTGAATGCAACGGGGAGGAGAAAAAAMATGAAAAATGAGAGTTTACCACCAAGGGCTCGATATTTCACCGTAAAGTAACACATTAAACCAGCCACCAACTCACTTTGCTTTATGCTCACAAAACATCTCACTGAGCTCTCTGATTTTACAGAAATGTTCCTTGTGCCTTCCTCCTCTGTTAATATCAATGAACGACACCAAATTTACCAT